GTACCTGTCGGGCAGACGGTGCCTCGGCCTGGCCCTCGGACCCCGGCCCTCAGCTGCTGGGGTTCCGTGTCTGCGTCCAGAACCTTCCAGAAGGGCCTCCGCGCGCATACGTGGCAGCTGTGCACGCCTGGCTTCTGCCCGCCCCGCCCCCGTTGCTCAGAGGGGTGTATTGCCTTGTCCAGCAAGAATGTAAACCTCCGCCTGCATGACACTGTCTGGGAACGTTTAGGCTCCTGGCTTCTGCTGTCTTTCTTTTTTCTGTCGTTAGTTTATTTTCCTTGTGACCCTTTCTCTGTCTCTCCAAGGCCCTGGCGAGACTTTCCTGTGCGTTTAAGACCGAAAACCAGACCCGCCAGGTGGTGTGTGACCTGGGGAACCCCATGAAGGCCGGGACGCAGGTGAGGCGCTCTGATCACGTGGGAGTTTACCTGCGAAGGAAAGTAGCACATTCTTTCCCCTGTGGGTTTGTCTACAGTAAATTTCTTTTCTTTTTTTAAAAAATATATTTTATTGATTTTTTTACAAAGAGGAAGGGAGAGAGACAGAGAGCTAGAAACATCGATGTGAGAGAAACATCGATCAGCTGCCTCCTGCACATCTCCCACTGGGGATGTGCCCACAACCCAGGTACATGCCCTTGACCGGAATCGAACCCGGGACCCCTCGGTCCGCAGGCCGACGCTCCATCCACTGAGCCAAACCGGCTTTGGCTACAGTAAATTTCTTAAATAAACATTTCAAAATGGTGCCTTTCAGTGGGTTTTGACTTAGAGGCCAGTGATTGGCAGGTGCTCAAACCGAGCCGCCGGCCAGGGCTCACGAATATTTAACACAATGTTTCGCTGACAAGTGGAGCGTACTTTGTTTTTTTTCGTGTTTCTCAGTCTCTCTAGCGTCTCCGCTCACAGCTCATCAGTCCGGACGAGGCCAGGCCATTCCCGGTGCCGGCTCCGGGCTCTGAGGGTGGGAAATGCCTGGTTATGTGTCGCTTACATGAACCCCCAGCCGGCGTCCTCTCCTCTCGTAACGGTCCTCCCTGCAGGCACCGGGTGCTGGGTGTGGAGCGCTGTGAGCGGGGCTGGCCCTGTCCGTGTCTCCTGAGTCCAGTCCTTCCTGCCCCGTAACACAGGCTCAGGGTGCGCTTCCTGCAGACACATCACTGTGCGTAGTCGTTTCCTGCCATTGAACGAACAGACATTCACTTTTTCACTTTTTTGAAAGACGATGAGCATTACAAGGAGGTAGACTCACCATAGACCCCATCGTGGGTTGGCCCAGGGGTCCTGGAAGATCCAATGTAATGAGCCCATTGAGACACTTCCAGGTCCTTGCGAGCGCAGAAAACCCGCTTAGGACGTCCTTTTCATTGGACGTGGACGTGTCACGAATCGGACCTGATCTTCTGGCATCTCCCTCCCCTCCCGTCAGCTCCTTGCCGGCCTCCGGTTCAGTGTGCACCAGCAGTCAGAGATGGACACGTCCGTGAAGTTTGACTTACAAATCCGAAGGTATGACACGGCCTTTCCGCTTTTCTCATTGGATTTATTGGGGTGACTGAAAACCACCTTTCCAATGGATAACTGATGAGGAAATACCTGTTAAAAGTGGTATATAATATAATTTAATATGCAATAGAATAGACTAAAACTTCATTACGTGGTTATACTCTTTTAAAATCATTGTTTATATCATAAGAATGACTGTCAGTTTTGAGTTTATAAGACAAAAAGTTAAGTAAAACTTGGAATTGAAGGCTGATGCAAATAATGGATTTATATGTTTTTCATTTCTTGTTGCTTTTCATTTGCTCGTTTGAGTGAGGATGATGCTCAGCTCGGGCCTCAGGGCGTGTTTTCTCTTCCAGCTCCAACCTCTTTGATCAAGTCAGCCCGGTGGTGTCCTACAGGGTCGACCTGGCTGTCCTCGCTGCCGTGGAGATCAGAGGGTCAGTGTGGGCACCGAGCAGCGTCTGGCGTTCTCACAACTTAAGCTGCTTTACAAAGGAGTTTGTTCATCTTCCCCTGGGGACGTTTCCCCCCGAGTTTTAGAGAGAGTGGAAGGGAGGGGAGCGGGGAGAGACAGAGAGAGAAACATCGATGTGAGGGAGACACGGCAATGGTTGCCTCCCACATGCACCTCACCTGGGGCCAGGGATCCAGCCTGCGAGCCAGGCGCATGCCCTCGACAGGAATCACACCCATGACCTGTGGGGCGCAGACCGACGCGCTAACCACTCGCGCACACGGGCCAGGGCGGCGGTTACTTTTTAGAAGTAAAGCCTCGGCCCCTCACTGCTCTGGGGGAGCAGGCGCTCCGCTTGCTGCTGGCCTGTGAGCTGCAGCTCCAGGGGAGAGAAGGGTCTAGGGCAGTGATGGGGAACCTATGACACGCGTGTCAGAGGTGACACACAGACTCATTTTCTTGGTTGATTTTTCTTTGTTAAATGGCATTTAAACATATAAAATAAATATCAGAAATATAAGTCTTTGTTTGACTATGGTCGCAAATATCAAAAAATGTCTCTATGTGACACGGCCCCAGAGTTAAGTGAGGGTTTTTCAAAATGCTGACACGCCGAGCTCAAAAGGCTCGCCGTCACTGGCCTAGGTGCTGCTCCAAACGTTCGTTTGCGAATCATCTGAAATAACCCCCCAGGCGACAGCGGGCACAGCATGAGGGCCCTGAGCTCTCACGCAGCTTGGCACCCGTTCACCTGTCACGTTAGGGTTGTAGGCAGGAGTGCACACGGTGGTTCTTAAACAGGCAGCGCTTTTGTAACGGTGAGGTCTGCTTTTCTTTGTCCGGGCGCAGGGCGCTCTGGAGAACGAACCGACTGTCACTGCGATGTTCGTGGTGGGTTTTCTCTGGTTGTTTAGGGTCTCGAGTCCGGACCATGTCTTCCTCCCGATCCCCAACTGGGAGTACAAGGAGCACCCCGAGACTGAGGAGGACGTGGGGCCCGTGATTCAGCACATCTACGAGGTGCGCGGGGTGGGCTTCGGGGGCCCGGGCGGGGCCCACGGAGGGGACGGCTGCTGCTGGAAAGACGCGTTGGAGTTTTACGGAAACCACGCTGGTGTGACTCTGGTTGTGTGAATTGTCCCCAAGTTCATTTTCATGAGACAAGTGGCTTCAGTGGCTCCCGAACGCAGCCAGCACACGTGGTTGTCCCAGCCCCTTAGTGCTACCGGAGTGGAAGCCACAGGCGGCCGAGTATGAGCACAGGGACATGGCCAGGTCCGACTCCACATGGGAAACGCTGAGAGCGGATCTGGCTTCTGCAGGAGGAGCATTTCCTGTGCCGTCTTCACCAGAACCTTGCCCAGATCTTCCTCTTCATTTAAGTTTTTATCCCGACCTCCCCCTGAGCAGATCCCGGGTTTGATCTCTTTTGCGTAGTAACAGTCGTGTGGGGATGTGAGCGTAACCATGGAGACGCTCTGCTTCCGCTCCTGTTGCTAAGGCTCCTGCGGGAGGGCGGGGGCTGCGGGCTGCGGGTGGATCGTGGCCGGACCGAGGCTGACGGTTTCCCGCCCCCATAGCTGAGGAACAACGGCCCCAGCTCCTTCAGCAAGGCCATGCTGACCCTCCATTGGCCCCACAAGTTCCACAACAGCACGCTGCTCTACATCCTCCAGTACGACGTGGACGGGCCCATGAACTGCACGGCCGACACCGAGATCAACCCCCTGAGGATCAAGGTAGACCCGACCTGAGAAATGCATGAAACGAAATGGCTGTTTCCTCGCAGCCCGTTCCGCAGACCGTTTTAGTTCACAGCCAGGACGCCGGGGGCGAAATTGATCGTGTGTATAATGACTCCCTGAAGTCCGGGTGCACCATGTCTAGGGGGTGTTCAGTGACCTGTGGAAGGATCCTTTTACATGTGAACTGTGGAGAGAGAGGAAGCAAGAGGGATAGAGAGAGAGAATCCTCACTGATCGGCTGCCTCTTGCAGGCCCCACACTGGGGATGGAGCTCACAACCCGGGCCTGTGCCCTGCCCTGGAATCGAACCATTGACCTCCTGGTTTAGGGGTCGATGCCCAACCTCCGAGCCACACCGGCCGGGCTCAGGAGGCATGAAGTGACCGAATCTGACTTTGGTCCCATTGCATTGTGACTTGTCCCCAGACGACACCGTGTCAAGAGTGCTCTGTTGTTGCCATTTTGTCTTTGGGGAGAAGGTGCCCCGTTTCATGGTTCTCTGGACTTGGGGGCCTAGAAGCGTGGCGTTTCGTGGGGTCTGTGGACGTGGGGACCGCCCCCTCCCGCCCAGCACACACGCGGCGCCCTGTGACGTGCAGGCTCCTCCAAGGGGGTGTCAGGTTCCCCCGGAGGCTGCGAGGGGAGGAGGGCCGTGGGCAGGCCCAGGCGACCTTCCCTGGCACACTCAGGGCGGACCCTCACTTCCTGTGTCTCCGCCGTGTGTGTGTGTGTGTGTGGGTGTGTGTGTGTGTGTGTGTCTGTGTCTGGAGGAGCGGGTTGCCCGTCCGCCCGGGTTCGGTCCCATTTCAATGGCCTCTGGCAGCCTGTGCGACGACGGGCGTGTGAGCCGTTTCCGTGGTGACGCGCCACTTTGTTCTGTGACCCCCAGGTCTCCAGTTCGCAGCCGGCGGAGAACGACAGCGTCCCCGGGCAGGGCGAGCGCGGCCACCTGGTCACCAGGCGGGACCTGGCCCAGAGCGAAGGGGGCGTCCACACGCTGGTAAGTGCGGCTCCGCAGCGAGCCCTCAGACCTGACACACACGGTTCTGGGACCGACCCGGAGACACGTCAGCGACGGCGGCAGCTGCGCTCGGAGAGCTGCACGTCGTCCATGCCGCTCGGTCCTCCCTCCTTATTCCTGTCTCGCGAAGGCCCATCGCTGCGGATCACCATGACAGATACGCTGTTCCCACGTGTGTGTTCTGTTCTCCGTTAACTGGCCCATTTTCTCGGTCTCACCCTGATCTTTGAGGCTTTCCTGCAAAACTGCAGGAAAATCCCAGAAACCTCAGCAAAAATATTGTATAAGAATAAATTTTGAAATCTAACAGTTGTGCATGCCCGGCCGGCGTGGCTCCGTGGTTGAGCGTTGACCTATGAACCAGGAGGTCCCGGTTCAATTCCCCTTCAAGGGCACAGGCCCGGGTTGCAGGCTCCATCCCCAGTAGAGGGCGTGCAGGAGGCAGCCGATCAAGGATTCTCTCACCATTGATGTTTCTCTCTCCCTCTCCCCTCCTCTGACATCAATAAAAATATATTTTAAAAAGGCTGCAGTGGGGACAGAGCGCCCTGTCCTGTGAGCCACGACGTCTCATTGGCAGGGCTGCGGGGTGGCTGAGTGCCTGAAGATCGTCTGCCAGGTGGGGCGCCTGGACCGCGGGAAGAGCGCCATCCTGTACGTGCGGTCGCTGCTGTGGACGCAGACCTTCATGAACGTGAGTGCACGGGTGCAGCCCCGCACACGCCTGCTAGCTCCTCAGAGATGAACACGCCTCACACGCATGTCCCTTCCGCAGAAGGAAAACCAGAACCGCTCCTACTCCCTGACGTCGTCGGCGTCCTTCAGCGTCATCGAGTTCCCCTACAAGAACCTCCCCATCGACGACATCTCCAACTCCACCCTCGTACGTCCTGGCGGGCGAGCGGGGCAGATGCGCGGCTTCCTGCCCTGGATGTTGCGTTTACTTAGATAACGGCCGTTCAGCTGTTTTGATGATTTAAAGCAGTGGTTCTCGACCTTCCTGACGCCGCGACCCTTTAATCCAGTTCCTCATGTTGTGGTGACCCCCAACCATAGAATTATTTTCCTTGCTACTTCATAACTGTAATGTTGCTACTGTTATGAATCGTCATGTAAATATCTGATCTGCAGGATGTATTTTCATGGTTACAAATTGAACATAATGAAAGCATAGTGATTAATCACAAAAACAATATGTAATTATATATGTGTTTTCCGATGGTCTTAGGCGACCCCCGTGAAAGGGTCGTTCGACCCCCAAAGGGGTCACGACCCACAGGTTGAGAACCACTGATTTAAAGTAACTAAGAGTCATTCGATAGGATTATAAACTAGTTTAATAATTTACTCCCTCGCCCCATACCTGTCAAAGGCAGGCCTTTCTCTTCAGCATCTTGTCCTGTGTAATAGTCTTAGAGTTTCCTGAATCTCATGGGGAAGCTCTTGGCAGTTTTCCCCTTCGCATTAGACAGCGGGACGGTAACTACAGGAGGGAAGGCGTTTTAAAGGTCTGTGATCGGAGGATTGAAAGTTGGACCAACACACCATCGACTGGACTGGGTTGTCTGAAAACCACTTCAGAGGCGACCGGAAGTTGCCCTGCTGTTGGGAGTTGTGTGTGTGTGTGTGTGTGTGAATGTCTGCTGTCGATGCCAGATGTTTAATCGTAACTCCTCATGCACAGGAAAAGGAAAGAATGTGATCACCATTAAAACAGAGCAGGCATTCTGGTAGCTGCACTGTTTTTAAGACCCAAAACC